GGTCATTCTCTTCACTATGTCATCTCATTTGGGGGTTTATTTTTTTCCCCTTTTGATCTGTATGGATCTGAGTGTATACATGCTAATGTGCCTTTGGTGGTAGTGGTTTACAACAACTTTGGGAAGGCAAGACTTTCATGTTGGGACTATACTGTGCCAACTCTTCAATTCTCTTTGAGATTACCTCATGAACTAAAGAGAAAGGTTTGCATGAATTGTTTTCTCAATGGTGGGTTTTAAATTGCTGAAGTGAGAAAGGATCCTCACTGAGCACAGCTAACCAGAAGTCAAAAAACAGATGATCCCAATTTCAAATGCTATTAGGCTGTGGATAAACAGGGAAATGGAGAGTAGTGCAAGAGGAAGGCTAACCTCATAAAAGGGTAAAAGGAAAGGGCAATTGCTGCCACAAGTGCACTGAAAAATAGATAAGTAAATTCAGACACTGGTGGCAGGTGGCGGAGGAAGGTGGCAAGGAATAAATGTTGAAGATTGGAAAGGTTAAGAGGTTAGCCTAGGTTGGATAAAATAAATGTAGGCTTTGGCATCAAATACCTGGGTTTAAATTCTTACCTGTAGTCAAGTGATCTTCAGCAATTAAGAGTATGATCTGAGCATCAGTATTTCCACCTAATTCATAATTTTAGGGTTACTGATATAAATACACTGCTTAGAACACAACATGGTATTCAGTAATTGGCAGCTTTTATAATTATATTTAAGGATAGAAGAGTCCAAAACAGAACTTTTAGTTTACCATTGTTGGCAGCTTTCAGAAAAGAGAAAATAGCTACAAACCAAAGAAAGAAGAGCCAGTCTCTCACAGGAGAAAGAGTCACAAGATTCACACTCAAGGCCACAAAACAGTGAACCTTTTACTAGATATTAAAGTTTAAAACCACACAGCTTAACAGTAATGTTAATTTTACCACTAGGTGGCAATGATACAGCTGAATTTCACTGACAAGGTTAATTTTAAAAACAGTGAGCAAATCCAGACATAAATTCCAAGAAACTTTTTAGTACATATTTTCATTTTAGAAAAATGAAAAAAATTCTATATACAATTTAATTTATAGCAAAATGTGTGATTATCTGATTCAATATGTATGTTAACTTCTGAGGCAATTCATGCAACAAATACAATTTTTAAACAGTTCTGGTCACAGTTAAGTCTTTTTAAAAAACCTAGACATATATCATGAAGAGAATAGAAATCATGGAAAGCTACAAGTATTTTTGAAGCTTTAGAGTTCTAAGAAAGTCATTATAAAATGCAAAGTATTTCAATGAAAAAGTTAAACCTTTCAAAAATGACTGATAGAGAACAATTCTTTATTTTTAAATTCAGGGCCAAAATATGAAATAATATGCAGACACTTTGCTTTTAAATTACATATGAAATTAATATTCATATAGGTAATATCTTTTCAATGTCAAATAAAACTACGTTGTTAAGCAAGTTTATCAAAATTCTAATGAATTCAGGAATACCTTTTTACAAATGTTAAAATAATAAATGATGAAATTCCTTAGAATCTGTACTTTCCATAATTATTTCTGCTTTCTTCATAAAACAGATAATTTATAGCTTATTAAAAATACTTTATTCATTTCTTCTTTTCATATCAAATAAGAGAAGGTATGACGAACTTTTTCAAATTATAGACATTTTCAAGTGCATAGTAAAAAAACCCAAAAAACAAAAAACTTACAAATACCCAAGATATTCCCTCACATATAGGGTGGGAGCTCACATCACCACATGTAACATTATAAAACCTGTACTATAATTAGATGAATAAATAATAAACCTATACTGTTATCCAATTAATAATTTAAAAAAAAGACCCAATTAAAATGAGCCTATTTATTCCCTTTGTATAAATAACCTAACGTTCCCTAAATTTTCAACTCCCAGTTTCTACAAATGAATAGGTCAGAATATCTTATATATAAGATTTCCAATAGTTTTCTAATTTAGCAATCACTTCCTATATTTACTTTACTTCCAGAAAAAAGTCCCCCCCAAACAAATGTAAGAAAAGCATGATTTCTAAGTTATTTTATTAATTCATAGATCAGTTTCTCCTTCAATTTGAACTTCATTTTGAATTATTATAGATCACCCTGAAATCTAACAATATAGCTATTTCTCATTCCATCGGTGTATACAAATATACAAAACAAACAACCACTTAAGATGGTTAGCACAAAGAAAGATTACTGTGGCAGCCCTCACAAATCAAACAAGAGATTTCAGGAAAGTGCTCAATCTGTTCACTGTTACCTGTAACTTCTGCTAGAAAATTTATGGAATGCCACTGTCATGGAAGGGATAATTGTAGATCTACAAAAGTGAATACATACGTATGTGTGATTTATACCTATACAGAATCAGCTTCTGATTATCTACACAGATAAAGGGACAAGAGATAGATGCTGCAAAACACATAATCCTCAAACCACTTCAGATACATTTTTCGTATCTGTATTTCACAGGGCTGTGTCTGAGAATTCAGAACACAAAGAAAATTAAGCCATATTGCAGAGATCAAGAGTTACACAATTACCAAAACAATGGTAATGCTGATATACCATTACTAACTTGACTTTGTCATCTTCTGTTTATTTCTGATGGTGGCTCGAAGTTTACGTATCACCAGTCTATCAGGCAGAATCATATCACCTTGTTGTTCTAGATAATCCAATAAATTTTCAGTCCATTGGAGAGCAGCTGCATGATTAATATGTTTCTCTGGAATCAGTTCTATTTCCTCCTCCTCATTTTCACTGGATTCGTCTGTCTGGCCTTGTGCTCTTCTGATGATTTCACTGTCAGTTAAGACTTCATAGCCTGGTTCAGTACTGTCCACTTCAAGCCATTTTTCAACGTTCTCAGGAGTCACATTTTCCAATCCTTTGGTGTGTTGTAAAATGGTAGCCACAGCAGCCACTGAGATATCTTCTTCATCAAAGTCCAGGCTTTCTTTTTCCTCTATGGTAGGGAGAATCTTCTTCCATGCTCTGCTAATGGTAACTGGCTTTACTAAATTCCATGCCATTGCTATTTCATAAAGTGCATCTAGCAGAGTTAGTTTCTTCCAGAATGATCTCAGGTCATTGCCTTCTTCCAAGTTGTTCTGGAGAAGACCTGCACGATAGTTTCTCTTCATCGTAGCTATGACTCCCTGATTTGAGGGCTGAATCAACGAAGCCACATTAGGTGGTAAATATTTAGCAAATATTTGGCCATCATCTGACCTCAGGACATTTTCATTTGGATGTGTTGGTGAATTATCCAACAAGAGCACAGCCTTTTCTTGCAAGCCTTTGGATCTTAAGTGCTCGCGAACTTGTGGCACAAAGATCTTATCAAACCATTGTCGGAAAATGGAAAGATCCATCCATGCACCTTTTTGGCTGAAATAAGAGACTGGCAGGTTTGAGGTGTCAGTTGACTTGAAGGAGCGAGGTTTCTTTGCTTTCCCCACAACACAAAGCTTAAGTTTGTGTAAACCTGTTGCATTGGCACAACACATGATAGTGACTCTTTCTTCAATTGACTTGTGCCCAGGGGCTGTGCATTTACCTTTGATTACTGAAGTCCTGGAAGGCAAGCATTTCCAAAACAGTCCAGTTTCATCTGCATTGTAGATCTGTTCTGGTTGCAAATTCTCTCGTTCAATAAAGTCTCGAAAGTTGTTGCAAAAATCTTCCACAGCTGTCTCATCTCCACTTAATCTTTCGTTTCTAATATTAATCTCTCTAATGCTGTGCCGCTGCTTAAAACGAGTTAACCAACCAGCAGAGGGGTTAAAATCACCATCCATTCCCAAAGCATAAAAGAAGAACTCTGCCCTTTTTGCACAAATTGGTCCAGACACGGGATTCCCTTTTGCTCTTTGCTGGTTGAACCATTCCAGCATTGCTCTGTCCAGTTCCTCATACATGGATGGCTTCATAGATTTCCTCTTGGCCAGAAGACTTGTGGAATCAGAACTGCTTGCGTAAGTTATAATCTTTTCCTTATTTTTTCTTATATCCCGAACTGTTGTCTCACCAATTCCATAAATCACTGCCAGTTGTTTGGAAGAACCTCCATCTTCAAGTTTCTTTATTATATCAAGCTTATCTTTAATAGTTAACACAACACGCTTCCGTTTCCCTGACATGGTGAGGCTCTGGGACTCAGGGACTCACCCCAGACTCACACAGAAGCAATCCTCTAAATCCTGCCTTCTCTCACAGACTCACTTTAACACAGCCTTACACACTCAGTCTTTCAACCTTACCAGGCACCTGGTGGCCCTGACCCCTTCCCTGGCTGGGCTGGGCTGGCAAAGAGACGGCAAAGGACGATCAGAGGGGCGGAAGTCTGAGAGAACAGGCCTTTAACTTTAAATGGGCAGTAGAGGAGGCCCCAAGTCACCGCGGATAATCCGGATTACAAACATTTGTTTTATTCCCCCAGTGGCCGCGAGAAAGACTATAACCCCATCGTGACCACAAGCCTCCTTCACGCCCAGATCCCGGGTCAACGGCCGTCACTAACCCCCGCCACACCCCAAAGTTACAGCAGAGAGCGGAAGAGCCAGGGAGTCGGGGACTGGCCCCATTCCCCAGGGGGACGGTTACGTTGGATTCCTTCCCCTGCAGTCAGCCCGTTCACCGCAAGCCCCACTTCCCCGCGTTGGCGTACTTAGCCTACACAGTCCTCCCCGTTCCTCACTGCCCGCCGAGCTCCCTCTCCCCACCTCAGTTGGAATCAGGACCCCGTAACGCTCCCTGCCTAACGCGCGGCGACCGCTCCTCCCCCGACCACAAGCTCCCGGAAACGCCCCCTCCCACCGCCGGGCCCGCCCATAGCCCCTCCCAGAGGCGGGACTTCCCCCCGTCTCCGGAAGGAGGAGGAGCGTCGTCAGTCTGGACTGGGTACCTGGGCGGAGGCAAAGGTGGAGGCGGAGGCAGAGGAGATTTGGAAGGTGAGGGCGTGGGTGCGGTGCGGGCAAGCTTCCGGCTGCTGATGGTTTATTAGAAGGGCGGGGATAAAAATTTCCCGCCGGCGCTCTCGGGGTAGGCGGGACGGCTGCCCTCCGCGCGTCGCTCCACTTGCGGGCCGCCGGGGCAGAGCTGCAGTGGGCGGGGTGCCAGTTACTTCCGCGAAGGGGAAGTGGGCAGGGCTGATGCGCGGGGCTCCGCGGGTAATTTCGCGGGTTTCTGGCTTTTCCAAATCCTTGTTTGTTTTCTGGGAGCCGAGCTCCTCTAAGGTCCGGGGGTTTGTGACGTCCCGCGCACTTCATCGCGAAGCTCTGTCAGAGGGTCCCGTTTCTTAGCTACGGTGCCTCCTCCTTCCTGGGGGTGAGTAGCAGACGGGCGGGCGATCTGCGCCAGGTGTCTACGTCCCGCCGAGGAGACAGGTTTGTAATCATGAAAATGACTGTGGTGTTAACTCCCGAGAGGCTCTATTCCTTCCTAGGCCCCTCATCCCTGCTGAATTTAGCGGACCATCTTCAGTGTTACAGATTTTAATGAATACTATAGTTGTCGGAGATAGCAAGCCGGCAGGATCCACTCTGTGCGAAATTTTGGAGTACTAAACCGTAAATCTAAGTAGGGGACATTGGCTTTCCTCCCTTTATGTTTTTCGTATTTTCCTATTTCCCACTTCTGTTTTGTTGTGCTGCCCTGTTTTCCAGCCAGTGGAAGAACTATGATAAATTTATTCACGGCACTGCGATAAGAACAAAAAAAGAATCATATTCTGTAGCCCTTAAATCATGTATTACGCTGCCTTGTTTTGGTGTCCCAAGTAATCTCGTCAGATTGTGAGCTCCTTGGGAGCAGAGACCGTGTTGTTGAATTCTAGAAACGCCACAGCTCCGGAGCATGTGCTGGCGCATAGTATACATTCAATGACTGTTTCTTTGGTTTATTAAGGTTTCCTCTCCAAACTGTCATATAAAAGGAAACATCAAGAGGGGTAATGTTTTACAAATAGGATGCATCCCTTCTGGTGGAATTTCAAGTAATGGCTGGGGTTCCACCACCCTTCAAATTTTTAAGTGTAAACTACCACCTACATTGTTCATAGGGCAAGTCGATGATTCCTAGAATGAATCTTTTCTTGATGAATTAACCTCAAACTTTAGAATAAAGGATATTTCTTCTGATGAGAAATTCAGGTGGCATCAAAGTACCCTTTTTAGTTGTAGAGTTACCATGCTAGAGAAAGAACACAAGCCTTATGGGTTATCGCCTTGACATTCTTTGGCAGACAGGATAGTATGTGCTATTTACATGATTTTAACCATGAAACAAAGATGTGATAGTATTGATCATCTTCATTCACTTATTTAATGCTCTCTGTGTGGAGTCCCTGTTTTTCTCTTTGCCTAAAGGTAAGGTATCATTAAAGAAGCTTGATAAAACTTTCATTTCAAAAAATTGAGTGTATACTCAGCATATATAGAAATTACATCCATTTGCATGGATTATTTTCTGAATGAATTATAATGATCAAGAGATGTCTTACCCATCAGCCTGGCTCTATCTTCTCATTTCTGTCTTCAGGTTCAGTTCGCTCACCTTTTCCCTGTCATCCTTCTTCCCTCCCCAGCTCACACAGTAAAAGTATCCACACTTAAAAAGAGGAGCCAACCATAATCAAATTATCTTCCTTTTCAATGACAGATTTTTTGACGTTATTGATATAAACAGCAATTTTGAAATATGAGACGCCCTGGAAATTTGGCAGTTGGCCAAATGAAATTTGATTTGTTTACATAAAATTTGTCTCCTCAAACATTCAATACTGCAGCTTTCCAAAATAATTTTTTTCTCATCAGAGACTGCCTTTCTTTGGAATCTTTACTTTTTGACTCAGTGGGGAATCCCTTAAATTTTGTGGTCAGTGTCATCAGTAAGGTGGTAGAGGGAAGTCTGCAAGTTTTCATCTCTCTTGCACATTCTTTTCTTGCCTGTTAGATAAATAATTTACAGAAGTTTCTGGCCTAATTCATGTGCACTAAAATCCAGTTACATAATTTAAAAAGCATGTTTGTAAACTCTTAGTCAAACTATTTTAATGATTATTTTCAGAAACTAAAATTTAGCCTGAATGAGAGATAAAATAATGACTTCTTGAAGGCATAACTTTTCCTACCTTGTACAAATATAATATTGGCAGCAGTCATTGTTTAGCACTGGATGGGGAATCAGGAGATCTGGTTTCTAATCCCTGCTTTGTCACTAACGAGCTGTGTGATCTTCGGTAAGTCATTTAAACTCTACGTCCTTGGCTTTGATTTTTATAAATGAAGATAGACAATATCTTCCTTTTAGGATCAGTGTCAGGATTTTAAAATATATTTGAAAATGTACTGAAAATTACTATACATATAGCGTTTTTTAATAGCTTAACTCTGTGCATAGATATTTGAATAGTGTGACATTCTTAATCATTTCTATTATTGTCATAGGACTCACCTCTTGAAATGATAACTGTCTTTTGCACATGGTATAGTTTTGTAAGATAATCATCTAGTATGTATGAAACTGCTTTTGAGTACTAATAAAATCATCTTAATATTCCTCCTGTCCATACTTTAGTGTATCTACTGAGGCCATATCTGTCTTTTGTTTTCATAAACTTGTCTTCATTATTTCTCCCAATTCAGACAGATTTATAAAAAAGCCTTACCTTCTTATTGTAGTGTAAAGCACATGCACAGTTAGCTTATGCAAATTTATAACTATATATGCTTAAAAAATACTTCTTTGTATTATATGGCTTCAAAATATAACCTGCCTAGTTTATCTGGTGTTTAATAAAAAGAAAAAAAACAGTAATCTGTTTAAAACCTGAAAGAGAAACTGGGGGGACATATTTTGCAGCAGTATGGTATACAATAATCCATACTTTGAAGAGTAATATAGAGATCTTTAAAAAGAGTAATTTTGACCACACACAGTTTTATTCTTTGCTGATTTTAATATAAACCTTCTGTAAAATGCAACCTAAGTGTAATTTCAAATAGCAGAATATTTGGTCTATGGACTAGGATTTGGTAGATCGCTGTTACAGTGCTGAAGGTATCTTGTAGCAGTTACTGTCATAAGGTCGCCTACATTATAATTTCTTGTGTATAATCTTAGCAACTGTTGTTGTTCTGATTTTATATGAGTTGTTACCATTATAGAAGCAGTCACATTGCCTTATAAACATAACAGAATTTGTGCAATGAAATGGGTGGTATCTCCCCCCCCAACTAAAAAGATAATCATCTTGGGAAGGTATAAACTGGGTTCAGTAACACTGCCATTGCTCAAAAAATTTCTGGCGTTCTAGTTTTGGAATTACCATCAGAGTTTGCAGCACATTTAAAAAATATCTTTAATAGTAGTTAATCTTCATCTTTTCAAATTGCCTTTCATTTCTGGAAGCTGGTAACAGTCCCTTATAACTAAGGCAAGTGAATAAAGTGGATATTTAAATGTCTCTTTGGGATAAAAAATGAAGTATGATTATTTTCATATTTTTTGAAAATAAAATAGAAAATCTCCAGAATATTCTGTGCCATCATGGAAATATTAGAACAATCAACCTCATAATGTGATTTCTTTGAAGGAGACAGCACTCAGTTGAATACATAAGTTCTTATATGTGTATTATGAGGTCAGTCTCATTGCATCGTGATCATATTTCTATTTTCCTTAGCAACCACAGAAGTATATATATGTTACCGTTTTTCTAGTTAAATTGTCTCTAATTGTTCTTTTACTGTATACTTGTGATAATTTTGATGGTGTTCACCCTTTTCTGAATCAGGAACTTAGATCATTTGTTTTCCTTCCCAGTACCATGCTCTGCTTCGCCATGAAACTTTTTTGTTTTTTCACCTATGTTATTGGATTGTTAGTAAGTTTTCTATTGGATTATATTGTATCTTTAACTTTTAATGGATTAAAGCCATTGCCATTTTACTAAAATATATGGAGGCTGAAATCTTGGTAGATAAGTTATCACTCAATTTTGCACTGTTATCTATTTTATAAAGTCACTTAGTACTTTATAACTTTCTTCATATAAATGTTTAACTTTTATGTTATAATTCATGTAATTTATTCAGAATCCTTCTTTGCTTATGGGAGGAATCATTCTGTAATTCCACCCTACCTTTCTATACTGGTCTCTTTTTTCCAGCATAAAGCCTTTTTTCACACCTTTTTGGTCACACTTGTTATTAAACATGTCATGTTCATTCTCAGTGCCAAAGTTTTGACTTTATCATTTTTTCCTGAAATCCGTTTGTCTTTCATTCTTTCTGTTCAAATTTAGTCAGTTCTTCAGCGGTCTATCAGATCATATCTGTTCAATAAAATTTTCAGTGAAACACTTGCTGTTCTGATCTTCCTGCATCTTTACACTTTTATTGCAGTTATTTTTTTATCACTCATTTGGTACTAAATGAATACTACCTTGCATTTTTCTTAATTATGAACCTCTATCAGCACAACATACAACATAATTCAGAATAGATGTTCATATGATGATTTTATAGATGTTCAATAAATTATTTGTTCCATAATTTGTTATGCAAATTATGCAACCATCTTCACTCAGATATTTCATGTGATTTTACCTTTGTGAACCATTTAATAACACCAAATAAATATAGTTTGTACCATAAATGCATTCATTGTTGTAATCTGGTTATCATTATTATATTCCTAATAACTTTATTTTGTAGAAGCTTAAGTGAAAATGGTACATATTAGAAGACATGAAACAAGGAAAAATTCTAAAACTCAAGAGTGTGAACAGAAATCTCGAGTGGATTGGAGGCGGACTAAAAGAAGTAGTCTCTCACAATTATGTGATAGTGATGATGAACTTGAGAGCGATGAGAAGCTTGATAGTGATGAAAGTGTTGACAATAATGAAAGTGTTGACAGTGACGAAGAGCCTGATAGTAACGAGGGGCTTGATAGTAATAAGAAGCCAGAAAATGAAAGAGAGCTTAAATTAATTAAAGTTGAAAGTGAAGGAAACAATAGTAAGCATCTCATTAACACTGACAACAGTTCAACATATGAAGAAGAAAAGAACAAAACCAAACATGGAAGTATTGACTTACCAGATCATGAAAAGCATTCAGGTCAAGAGGAAGATGATCTCAACAAACACTCTGGACAAATAACAGAGGAGGATTTAGAAGAAGAACACATCAAGCGAGGGAAGAGAAAAAGGACCTCCTCTGTGATGTACGACAGTGATGAAAGTGACGACAGTGATATCCTTGTTAGAAAAGTGGGAGTTAAACATCCACGTAGAGTGGTTGAAGATGAATGTTCTTCAGTGGAGATGGAGCAAAAAGAACCTGAAAAAACTTTAGCTGCAAGAAAGCGAGAACAGCTCCAGAAACTGCAAGACCTCTCAAAACAGAGATCTCGTCAGAGACGCAGTAGTAGTAGAGATTTTGAGGTGTGTTATATTTTATTGGTTTTGTTACTGTTTTTAACTTTTTAAGTATTTTATAAAAATCAAAGGGCTTGAGTCTGTTCTATTTCACAATAATTCTAAAATTTATTTTTTAGTCAAGTTTCCTTGAACATGTTTGATTGCAGTATTGTATCTAATAATATTTTTTATGAGCCTCATTCTTTCACTCTTTTTTAAAATTGAAAGACTTCTTTAAAATTTGGTCTTTCCTGTTTTTAATTTCTACTTATAATCTTAATGTCGATTTTAAACATTTTATTTCACTTACCAGGGTATATTATCTTCTTCCTAATTTCAAAAGTTCAACACTTAACATAAGATTTTTTTAACCTTAAAATATAAAATTAATTTCTACAAATCAGTTTTTTATTTCAGATTTAATCTTAATTTCACATCCATACTGACAATTTTTTTTTTTTTTTTTTGCGGTACGTGGGCCTCTCACTGTTGTGGCCTCTCCCGTTGCGGAGCACAGGCTCCGGACGCGCAGGCTCAGCGGCCATGGCTCACGGGCCCAGCCACTCCGCGGCATGTGGGATCCTCCCGGACCGGGGCACGAACCCGTGTCCCTTGCATCGGCAGGCAGATTCTCAACCACTGCACCACCAGGGAAGCCCCATACTGACTATTTTTTAAAGGTACACTTTACTAAAAATACTAAAAGGTATGTTTTAATTTAATTAGGACTCTGAAAAGAAATCCTGCCCAAGCAGTGATGAAAATGATGAGGAGGAGGAGGGGAAGGAGGAAGATGATTATGAATATGATGAAGATGGAGATGATTATGTTCTTGATGACTTTGTAGTGCAAGATGAGGAGGGTGATGAAGAGAATAAAAGCCAACGAGGAGAAAAACTGAAATTAGTAAAGCAGAATTCTCTTTGTAAGTTAAATATCAAGAGAATGTTTTATGACTTGTTCTAATCATGATATTATACTAAGTATCAAATCAGCCTTTTACTATCATGTTCTAAATCATTGATTAGGAACTGTGGTTTCATTTTCAGGTAAATTTGTCTAATAATAGTTTATTTTAGTGGTTTTGAGAACCCTTTACACTCTTAAAAATAATTGAGGACCCCAAAGAGCTTTTGTTTCTGTGGGTTATATCTATCAACATTTACCATTGTAGAAATACAAAAGAGAAATTTTAAATATATCTATTAATTAAATGACTTAAAATAACTCGTGTAATGTGATAAGCTCATTAGATAATATTTTTCTGAAAAATAACTATTTTTCAAAAAATGAGAAGAATGGCATTATTTTACATTTTAATAAATATATTTAACATCTAGCTTAACAGAAGGCAGCTGGGTTCTTATATCGGCTTTTGCATTCAGTCTGTTGTGATATTTTGTGATATTAGATGAAAGCAATTTTGTTTCACACAGATAGGTAGCTGGAAAAGGGAGGATTGTTTTTAAAGCATTTTTAAAATAATTGTGGATATTCTCATTTGACACCACACCAAAATTGAACAAGTGGTAGTTTCTTAAAGGTTAGTTTGCAGTATGGAATGTGAAAGCATGTGAATGAACTTTTAGTACTTAACATTACATTCCATTGGTTTGTCTTGTAATTTGAATGGATCTTTTACCCATGCATGATTTTGTAACATCATGCACTGATCATTTGGAAAATATTGGTTCACTGGGTTATGTAGCTCTTCCATATTTTGACACATTTCATTATACAGTATTTAAGAAATCACATTCATTAATATCACCACCAATCTCATCAGAAAATTCTTTAGGTATTGGGAAGTTGTCAAGCTCATAGTAACAAATACAAGTTTTTCAAAATTCTAATTTCTACTCAAAAATCTGTTTTTTATCTTTGGTAACAAATACTGTGAGTTCTTGAAATGACAGTTTCTCTTTGCTCATTTTTGACAAAATATTTGACAAATGCCTGAATAACATAGTTGGTCAATAGTTCTCTCAAGTAAACATGGTATTTCAAGTAAACCTGACAAATGAAGCTTTTTTAACTCCCAACTCAGTTTTTTCTTAAAGTACGATATTACACTTGATATGCAGCACAAGTGCTTTATCCATACTTACCATTTCATCTCACTGAATACAAAAAAGGTGTATCCTCAAGATTCAAGATTTAATAAAAGTAATAATTTTTACTGCTTCATCAAGGACATTCTTAAGTGAAAGTAGGTTTTTTACTGAATGCATAGGAATGATTATAATGATTACTAGTAGTTTGATCCTATAGCCATGATTCATGTTAAGGGGTCAGCTGCCTTATGCTTAGTTACTTTTGCAACATCATTGAAAATGTCAACATGGTGAAACAGCAGATAATTATCTTAGTGTTATTGCTTTGACCTCACTGATCCCCTTAAATGGACTAGGAGACTTCCAGGGGTCTACAGATCACACTTTGAGAACCACAGGTGTTATCTGATCTTTTGAAGTGAAACTCAGTGAAACCTATCAGGAAATTAGAATCTTTTATATTTTCACACAATGAAAATATAAATAATAGGGCCCTGAAAATTTAGGATGTCTTTAAATATGTATTATTGTTCTGATCCCTATAATTGTACATAAATTTAAAGACTTTTTTATGATGTTTTACAACTCTGGTACAACTCTGTTGGATGAAAACATTTTTTTTCTTCAAGAATGCATTTTTTCCAAAAAAAATTAAAGGGCATATTTACTAAAGTTAAGTGTAATATGGTTCAAATTAGATACCATGATTTAGATAAATTAGTAGATTTAGGTATGAATCAAATTTCAAGAAATTTATCAGTTACAGAAATGCCAGTGATAAGCATCTGTGTATTGAAAGTTAATGACTGTTTTCCTTATGTCAGTAGGCACTGGTTCACCTGCCATCTGGACATTTGAATCCCAGGAAAACTCAATTAGGAAGTGTCCCATCATTCTGGATATTAATATCTAGAATGTGATAGAACATTTACTGAGAGATACCCACTCATAAACACTCCTGTTAATTAATGAAAATAAAAGTCCACCACATGGGAACTATTTTAACTTTCTTCTCTATCCTACACTTTTATGCTTGCTTTTGTTTTTTTAAGGGAGGTTTTAGATTTACTGAAAAGTTGAGTAGAAAGTACAGAGAGTTCCTATATAACCCCTCATTCAGAGTTTCCCTGTTATTAACATCTTGGATTAGTTTGGTATATCTGGTGCAATCGATGAGCCAATATGAATACATTATTAACTGTAGTTCATAGTTTGTGTCGGGGCTCACTCTTTGTGTTGTACATTCCATGGGTTTGAGAAATGTATAATGATGCAACAGGTATCCACCATTACAATATCAGAACAGTTTCACTCTCCTAAAAATGCCTTGTTCACCACCTACTCATCCCTCCCTCCCTCCCACCCCAGAACCCTTATCAACCACTGACCTTTGAAATGTCTCCATAGTTTTCCCTTTGCCAGAATGTTTTATAGTTGGAATCTTACAGCATGTAGCCTTTTCAGGTTGGCATATTTCACCTAATAACGCATTTAAGTTTCCTCCATGTCTTAATGTGCATGATAGCTCATTTCTTTTTATCACTGAATAATATTCCATTGTATGGATTACCACAGTTCGTTAATCCACTCACCTGCTGAGGGACATGTTGGTTGCTTCCAAGTTTTGGCAATTATGAATAAAGCTGCTCTAAATATTTGTGTGCAAATATATCTATGAACATAAGCTTCCAACTCATTTGGGTAAATATCAAGGAGTCCTGTGCTTGCTTTTACTATTGCGCATCTTCACCTTAGAAGGAGATGTACCTCATTTTCTATGCAATACATTTTATCTTATGTGTTCTTAATTGAAGCTTCTCCTTCTGGCTCTATCCTTACAAGCTCTCTTTTCTCAACTTGTAACCATATTAATGCCTTTCCTCCCTTGAGTTAGCATGTTCTATTAGCCACCATTCTAAATCTTATCTTTTGGTTCAAGTCTCCCAGTAACTCTGCAAAGCATTGTGCTTAGACTATTATACCCATCGATCCAGTGAAATTGCTCTCACCAAAGTTAGTGATAACTTTTTAGTTGCCAAGATGTGCTTTGGTTCTTATGTTAACCTGATATTGCTGTGTGCTTTGCCACTAACCATTGACAACTCTCACTTTCAAAGTTCTCTTTTTCGCTTCTTGCATTCCCCTTTATAATATTGCTTTCCTGTTTTTTCCATTTGCCATGTAAGTATTGATGTTTCTAAAGTTTCCATCCTCAAACTACCTTCACTTTGCTTGTGCTTCAGGCAGTCTCTGCCCCATAACTTCAGCCCAATCTATGGGGAAATTCCCCAACTTTTATTTCCAGCACAGATTTCTCCATAGTCTTAAGGCCCAATTTTTAAATCTTTTTATTGAACCTTGTCATCAGGGTGTCTTTCAGACATCTCAGACTCAATATGTGCAAAACTAAATGATTGAGAGGGAGCATAAGGGAGTTTTGGGCTGGTGGTAGAACTTGTTTTTTTGATTGTCATGGTGGTTACACAACTTCGTGTTTTGGTTACAGAACTGTGCACCCAAGAGTGAATTTTATGGTATGTGAAAAAGTAAAGCTCAGTAAAGAAATCCAAATGAGCATCCCTACTTCCCAAAAAATTACTTAAATCGTTAATCAGCTTCACTTCTCTTTGTAATCCTAATACACATTAGACTTGGTGACACATTATAAGAACTTATTAGTTGGATGGATGGATGATTAAGATAAACATACTGACTGAAGACTCCTTGGTCTTATAGTTTTAAGAAACAAAAATGTTAGGCGTGACCAGATTTATTAATACGTCAGAGGAAAAAAAAAACCACATATTTTTATGTGATGATTTATGATTTGATTAATGTTTTTAATACATAACAATGATTATGCCATTTAAGAATATAATAAATGAAGCTAAATACAGGCAGTTTTTGATATGCCAAGGGATTATGTTCTAAAAGTTGCTATAAATCAATTCTTACATTTGAAAATCAACATACATTTTCTTGTTAAAGCAATAATCTATATGATGAGTAGTGAACACCCTTCTGTGGCCTGGGTTAGGTTGTAATTAGGCTAGTATTCCCAGATTCATTCTCCCCCCATCCCCAACTTCTATAAGAACAGTGACAACTACTCATATTCAACATGTGATCAGAATTTGGGAGAAATGTTCAGAACTCCAAATTCAGCACTCACTTGAGACTCACAATCAGTGGCATATGCAATTTTACCTTTTTGAAGAGAACAGTTCTACTGTAGGAAGACATTTTGTTACTTCCTTGCTATCTGCCATTTGGCTCTGAAAGACAGACACATTTGTAACACCTTAAAATAGAATAGTTTGCCTCCTGCTACATGGTTGAAGCACTTAAAAGACAGTCTTTTTTGCTTCTCATCAATCCCTATTATTATTTATTCATATTTATTCTGAGACTGCAACTCCCAGAAAAGATATCAAAGAAAGTAGAGGGATGGACTAGCAATGGTTTGTTGTATTACAGATCTATATAGTTCACATGGTAATAATGTTATACACAGGTAGAGAGATAGGAACACCTTCAGATTTGTAGATACTAAAGATTATATTATTTTTCCAGTACTCTGTCATATGTTCAGAGTGACAGAGAACCAAGTAGTACATTATAAAAGTACATCTCAGTCTACTAGTGCCTTGCTAGAATACTGGAAATTAGATAGAGTGAACATTAACTTAGTCTCCACCTAGCAATTAAACAGAATCATTCTATCAACATGCATGGTATGACTAAGAGCAGTCTCACAACAATTTATGTTAAATATTAAATCCTCTCGAGAACTCCTCCTCTTGTTTTAGGATAAATAAAAAGTACCAGTGAAATCATATGGCACAAGGGAAAAGTAACCCTGCCCTGAAGACTCGGGAAGAAAATGCCCATGAAAAAATGTTTCATTAAAGGAAACAGAAGAAAATTGTACAAAGCATTTGCTTTGCAATCTATGGAAAAGAAATAGTAATGAGGAGAGAACAATTTGAGGTGAAAGGGAGGTAGTTAAGGATACACTGCCAGAAATGAAAAATATAAAGTCAGAAATAAAATCTATATTGAAAGCAGTAGAGAGCAGAATTAACAGTACAGAAAATCTCATCAATGATATGTAGGTTAAACCCTAGAAGCTTCTAGCATAGAGAGAAAAAACATTTCTAAAGGAGGAGATAATACATAAAGGAATAGAAATGAAGACCCTATTTCACAAATTCCTGGCGGGGGGAATACAGAACAAATGGAAATCTAAAGGAAGAAAATTACATAACCTTAGTGAGATATATAAAAGATTTGAATGTGTTCAGAGGCTTACCATGTTTCTGGATATAAAGACACATGGAGATGTGAATTCAAAGGTATCATAGAAGAAAATGTTTTTGAGTTGCCAGACACACCTGTTTATGCAGATTAAAGAGGCTTACATCCTAAGTTGATGAAAAATATTTTCAAACAGGCATATGAAGGAAGTATTTTTGTAATTACAAGAGTAAAGAAAAAGTCCTCTAACCATTCTTTTTAGAACTATAAAAATTGTTTAATATTAGGTGCCATATTAATGTGTTGCATATGTCAAAAGAGAAAAAATAATAATTTCAATAGATTCTAAAAAGGCATTTGATAACATTCAATGCCCATATCTAGTTTTCCAAAAAGTCTTATGAATAGTTATATGAGCATATGTCCTTTACATAACAAAGAATATTTTAAACCAAGATCTAACATCATAATGAAGCACTAGAGGTATTCTCTTTAAAATAAAGAACAAGACAAAAATATTTCCTACTTTGTTCTAGGTGTTTTCAACAATGCAACAGATGTGAAAGTAAAACAAGAAATATAACTATTGAAAAGGAAAAGACATTATTGAACATAATATGATTATACACAAGCTATCAGTTTCTGACTTATTTAACCAAAGATACAGAAGTTAAGAGAAAGGATATGAATATATTGAGAGTAGGAGTAGATGCAGCATCTATTTCCATATTTTTCTTAAGTTCTTTTTTCTCTATATGAGTGGGAGGCACCTGTTGGAGTAGAAAAAGGGGCCCATTTCTTGCTCTGCCCCTGCCCTCTTACACTGGGCTTACATCTCCATTTCAGAAGAAAGTACACCAACAGTCCATGTGCTTCTATTCTCTAATAAGAGAATATTTATAAACATTCTCTTGGTTTTTGAAATAAACTTAGCACTAGCAAGACTACATCCTCCTCAGGGTAGGGGAGAAAGCAGTCAGTGCCAGGAATTCCCAAACAGTATCTCTCTCACCAGCTCTATAATGTTCCAGGAAGCTCATTTTCCTTAGAAAAACATCTCAAAAAATGCCAGATGCACAATAAATATGTAAAACTCAGTAGTTTTCTTATATGCTGTCAATAATTTAGAAGATATAATGAGGGAAAATTCCATTTACACTAGTGAACAAAATTATTACCAGGCCTAATCTTAAGAAGAAAAGCATGACTTTACAGGTACAAGAATAAAATTTACTGTGGAAAAAGGAAAGGAAATGTGAGTAAAAGAAGAGATAAGCATGTTTCTGGGAGGTAATAAATCATACAAGAGGTTATATCTTCTGAAATTAATGTTTTGATTCAGCTTTGCAAACACAATCCTAAAGTTCTCTTGAAAGAACAAATACATGAGAATAAATAACATTTGAAAACAAAAAATAAAGTGGAAGGACTTGCCCCACCAGATATAAAAAGTAATCATAAAATTGCAGTAAGTAAAACAATATTGTACTGATGTGAGAATGACAGCCAGATCAGTAGGAAAGGAAGGGCAGATGGGGCTGAAACAAAACCTTAGCATATATATGAAATACATGATAAAGGATGCACAGAAAATCAACAGAATGACCAAACTATCCAATGATTGGGTGTGGGGAAGGTGATTAGCTACCTTGAAAAAGTCAAGTTATTCCTAAATATGAATATTGTTTATTTTCTCCTGTATCCTTTTGAAATTTTTTATAATCATGGAGAAAAGTTATAAACAATATTTCTGGGGTATTCCACAGAAGCCCATCCAATATAGGGATTAAAGTGATGAGAAAAGCTCTGGGGGAGGTCTGAGCTCTATTCCTGACTCTGCCTCTATCTAGTTGTGTAATAAGTTATTTCATCATTGAGTCATTTTTACTAGTCTTGAAGGATTTGAATTCTATTTTCTCCAATTTCCCATTCACGTCTAAAATCCTATGTTCTGAAGTATGAAAGTATCAAATCTAACCACCATGCGGAACAACATCTATGTAGGGGATTGTAGCATGAAATCTAGAGTCAGAGTGTCTGTTCCAGCCTTGGTTCCAACACTTACTAACTATATGATCTTTGGGAAGTTTTTCATCCTCTCTCTTTTTCATCTTCATTCTCAGTGACTAGACAAGTCACTGAGCCAGCTATAAAATTAGGATAATTAAGCAATTTCTCCTATTTCTTAATTTCTTAGCCTTGGAGAAAGGAACCCATTGTACTTAGGCAATTGTTTTGTCTGTTGGATTCTAATACTTATTTTAAATTAATTTCAGATTCTTTTAGTGACCACTATACTCACTTTGAAAGAGTTGTGAAGGCTCTTCTGATCAATGCTCTAGATAAATCTTTTCTGGGAACATTATATGGTAAGTTAATAATATGAATGGAAGAATCAGGGGTTTTTCCCAATTTTTAAGCAGCCTCATTGTTCTATATGTATATATGTGTGTGTGTGTATAAACAAAACCACAGAGACCCAATCTTAAGGCCCTCCAGTTGTTCCCTCTAGTATCAACTACACCAAAAGTCCATTCACATGAAAAACTTGTTAGTGTTTATTATTTGTGATATGTGAAAGTACAATAGAAATAGTTTCCCTGCCCTTTGAGAGTTCACAGTGAACTTGAGGATACAGGACATATACTAATTAAACAGCAGGGTAATTCAACACCCATGTGTTGTCCCAGCCTAAGTGCTAAGCTCCTTGAATTTCACCAAAAGTTATATGCTTTTTTATGCTTTTGTGCCTCGTTGTTTCTCGTTAGAGTATAATCCCTTCCTACCTTAGATTTTCTAAGTGAGTATGAAATCATTTCCACTATGAAAGCTATCTGTGACCCATTCAAATAATATTTGTCACTCCCTCATTTGTGCTGTCATTATCCTGAGTATGAGTATGGTGGCACTGATGTATATGCACTTTTCATATATATTGAAAATGTATTTTTGCTTTCCTCCCTTTCAAGAGTGTGAGAAGAACCATACTTTCTATATACACACCCCTTGTATCTAGCACGGAATCTGGCTCTAAATAAAGACAATAAATATGTTGTGCTGAATGTCTACCAAAGTTCCAGAGTAAGATTTCATTCAGACTTTATTGAACAAATATTTGTTGAGTGCCTACTAAGGGCTGGGCATTATTTTAGGGCTAGGAATATGGCAATGACTATGACATGGAAGATTCTTGCCTCATGTTGCGTAAAGTCTAATGGAAGAGACAGCAATGAGTAAACAAATATATAACATGATATGATTTCACCTAAGGGATTAATTCTTGAAAAAATATAAAATAAGATAAGGAAATCAAGAGTGATAAAGGAAAGGAAACTCTGTTAGTTAGATTGGTCAAAGAAGGTCTCCCAAGTGGTATCTTTTGAACAGAAACCTGAATGAAGTGAGGGAGGAAGCAATGCATGGATCTAGCAGAGAGCACAGCAAGTGTAAAGACCCTTAGAAAAGAGTAAGTTTGATGTGTTCAAGGAATAATTAGAGAGCCTGTGTGGCTCCTTCCTTTCCCTAATGCTCTGATGGAAGGATTTTCTTTAACTTCATTAATTTTTTTAAATTTAAAATGTTTCTAACCAACCAAGCAAGTTATCTTCTTAAAACTATGGGAAGAAATCTTTATGCAATTATTTAAATATTTTATACGGGCAAAGTGCTTGGTTTTGTTGTTGTTGTTATTATTCCCCTGAACAGATGGCACCAGGCAAAAATCATATGCACAAGATATGTTGACATCTCTTCATTATTTGGATAACCGCTTTGTTCAGCCTCGTCTAGAGAACTTAGTCTCTAGAAGTCGTTGGAAAGAGCAATATAAGGTATAATTTTATTTGTTTTTGAATCTCTGGTCGGGGGATGGGGTGGGGTTGGAGTGGGAGACCTCCTCACTCCAGTCCTTCAATAACCAGTCACACTGAATAATCTTCTAAATTATTAACAATTTTCTTTGTTAAATAATCAGCTTGTTGTTTCTCATCTCTCCTAAAGGCTATAATTGTTTTAGTCTTTCACACTTGTTATATCTATCCAATAATTAAGTAGTCCTAAATGGTAAATTTAGAACATCTCTAAGGCTTAGCCCATCTGTTAAAATGAGGAGATTGTCTCACAGGATGTTAATTATTTCAGAAAAAAGTTTCATTGTTAAAGAAGGTTGAGAAACAGTAGGGTTAACTTAACTGGAGGACTTTCAAGGAGCATTAATGTGTGAATTTATACTGTAAATCTTCAAGAGGGCAATGTAGAATATAATACTTGCCAAATTTGTGTTTCACTATGAGGCTTCTTTTCATGAAATACCTATTATTACCTTCTAGGATATTGGTTCCCATAACTTAATTAGGGAAACACTGACTTATGTAGTCTTCGACATCCTTCTCCACCTTAAGATTTTGTAGTTCTACCAATTTGGGGGAAACATCTTTTTAATTTATAAGATATATTTGATTTCATGTTATCACCTAGATTTCTATTTTATGATCTCTAATAGTAGAGGCTGTACTATATGATTTTTAAGTCTTTTCTTCCTCCCTACTTCTAACATTGTAGCTTCTAATAATTAGCAAGAGGAAAATGGCAAGATAGTAGAAGTTCAAGTTCCTTATAGTCCTTCTAGCACTTAAATCGTTAGCTACTTTACCTCATTTATGTGAGATTGGGCTTCATCCAAGGCCTGTTTGGCCTTGAATTACCTGATGATAAATTAGCCACAGATGGATTAGGTTTAAGGACAGTTATGGGATTATTAAAAAAAAAGAATTAAAAGACTTCAATTTGGAGAATAGCTTGAGTTTAGGGCCACCATATATACCTTTTTGACTTTGGGTGATTTTTTAACTTTTGTAAATTCCAGTTTATTCCTCAGATAGAGAAAATATTTATTTACTTTTAAGGTAAAGCACATAGCATAGCTCTTAGGATGTGGTATATATATATTTGTCTTTAATAAAACAATAGCATATTGATCATTTAATTTTCCCAAGTAACTGATATGCAAAGTAAGGTATCTTATTTGATCTTTAGAGTAACCCCTCAAGGAATGTACTATTATTTGCTCCATTTTAGAGATGAGAAAATTGTGACTCAGAAAAATTGAGTAACATAAGGTTACACAGCTAGTAATTAGCCAGGCAGGCCAATATTTGAACCTAGAAACCTTAGGTGTAGGGTTTCTCAGACTTCAAAGCCCATCCATTCTGCTGTAGTATGCTTTACCATACTATGGTAGGTTATGTTGAGTTTGAATAACCCAATGTTGAAATAATAACTGTAATATACAAGAAAATATTAGCTTAAAAATTTAGAGACAGAGATGATTCAGTACGATCTTGGTCAGGATAAGCTAGGTTATGCTGCAAAAATAAATAATGTGACAAACAAAGTAAACCAGCAACGAAAATCTCAATAACTTAACCCAACAAAGTTTATTTTTCACTTATATGTCCAATGTGAGTCAATAAGGGTGCTCTGTTTATTGTAGTCACTCAGAGAACCAAGCTGATAGACCTTTCATCTCAGCATGTGCTTCTGTGAATACCAGAGAAGCAGGAAGGGAAGATGGTTAGTCATCTGTTCACTCTGAATGTCAGCCTGTAAGTGACATGTGTCATGAAGTACCATGAAATATGAGAAACAGTAAAAAGTAGACAAAAGACAATGTCTTTGTGAATCATACAATGTAAAAAGGAAACTATATTGGATACTTAATTACTGTCAGGCTGATAGAGAATGCAGTTTAGTGACCCTGCTAATGTGCTCATTGTGTGCAGTTCAAATATTGTGGTAAACTGATCCACGCTACTAATTACAGCAGTAGTATCTAGCACAGGTCTAGAGCGTAAGCAAAACTACTCAAGCACAAGTAATTTCACAGCTTAATAAAGCTTATTTATGAATACCAAATATTTTCTGAGTTTGTTTACTTATTGCTAACTCACCTATTAGACTGGCCATAGCAATACTGGCGACCTAGAAATCCTAGTTCAAACTTGTTTATTTTCCTAGTACTTTAGTAAGAAACCATAGGAGAATTAAATTATTTCTGGGATATTTTGTGGAAAATATAATTCATACAATGGAGACTGAATGTGATCTTGTTTTTTCTTAATTTTTTACTAACCTAAATGAATTTAATCATTTTATTATATTATTCTGAATTTTTTCTGCTCATTCTTTTCTATTTTAACTAACTATTATATCTGGAGATGAGAAGAGGGAAAAGAAGTAAATCAAAACCTGTGAAAAGCACTGCTTAATAGTAACAGAAGTTTGAGCATTATGAAACTAATTTTTTTCCTAATCTGGTTTCTTTTCATTTACTAGCCTAAATTATAAATTCACTTTTAAAATTTAAATATATCTTGTGCTCAGTACTAAAGTAAGAAATACCAGTGTGTTTTGCTCTTACATCTTGCCCTATCATTGTGATTTCTAACCTTGATTTTAATTTGGCTGGGCTCTTTTTATGTTTTATTTTATTGTTGCTTTTCTTATCCTTTAAACCTTCATTACATTTTGAAATTATTTTCAGGAGCGAGTAGAAAATTATTCTGATGTAAGTATCCGTTTGAAGAATCCTGAGAACTGTTCCTGCCAGGCTTGTGGATTGAATCGCCACTGTAGATATTCGGTGCATTTATCAGGAAAGTTATATAACACCAGGACTATGGAAATAGATGATTTCATGTCACATGATAAACAGGTATTTTTTCCCTTCATTTTAGTTCTCAACATTTAGAAATTTTCACTAAATAAGCCTGCACAAGTAACCCTAAGTTATTTTCACAAATGGAGAAAGCACCAGGAGAAGGGAAAAGAATACAAGGAAAGAGTGTGCAGTTTTTGAATGTGAAAAATACGTGTTATATAGCAGATTCACTCCAAATTCAGTCAGATACTGAAATAGTGCATACTGTCTAAGTATACATCACCCAAACTGCGGGGGAGAGGGGAGAGGGTATAGGATGAGGATGAAAAGGGAGGTAACTGGGGCAGGGGAAGCAGAAGTCCTTTTGGAGTCCAAAGGAGAATTTGACCCCAATGGAAATTTTAGGGCAGATAATCTACCAAATTGACAATCCACAGACAGAGAGGCCTATTCACCTCAATATGAGATTTGAAGGAAAATTGTGCTTCAGCCTAGACTACATCAGAAGTGTTTCAGAGCCTAGAGCAATCACTATATATTTAAGGTCCTGTTAATTTTGAATGAATAGACAAAACAGAAGAAAATGTTTGAAATATTTGAAGAAATGTATTTGATAAACAAGAACAGAACAATGCAATGTGAAGAAAGAAAAAGTGCAAATGTGTACTACTTCTATTTTTAAATCTTTGTAAAACTGTTGCACTTATAAATGCAAAAATATTAATATTGAGATCTTCCTCTGAAATTCCCTCCATGGATTCCGCATCCACTGATACAGAGGACCGACTGTGTATTAATTGAAAAAAACCCCTGTCTCTGTGGACCTGTGCAGTTCAAACCCTAGTTGTTTAAGGGTTGACTGTACTATGTTTATACCTGCGGTTGGTTAAATCTGCAGAGAGGATTCCGCAGATATGGAGGCCCGACTGTGGGACTTGAGCATCTGCAGATTTTGGTATCAGGGAGGGTTCTGGAACCAATCCCCTGCGGCTACTGAGGAGGGACTGTAGTTTTAGTTACAGCAGTCTTGGGTAGGGTACTGAGATGAGAGGCGTTGGACCACCAGGTTATGGTAAAGTCTGAGAGCATGGATGAGAAGGAAATCGCCTAGAGGAAAAATATGTGAAATCTGAAAGGCAGTTAGGAGGACTGAAAACAGTCAGTTTTTCAGTTTTGCCCAGAGTCTGTCCAGACTCCTCAAGATGCTTAAGAACCAGTGGGAGGAGGCAGTAATTTTGAGGCAAGTGGCAAGGTGTAATGTGTCCATGCAAAGAACAGGCTAAGAGGAAAGAGAATCCCGTAACTCAGTCTATTGCACTAAATGTTCCTAGAGACCTAGGAACAAAATCCAAACTTCTTCCCATCCTTCCTCTTTCCTTGAGGATCTTTTTTCTTTCTTCTCCATACTTTAATTTCCTTAAGAAGCTGGCTGCTCCTCTGTATTTGAGGGCCTAGAGAAATACCTCAAAAAGCTACCTACAGTGAGCTGGATATTATAGATGTGTGTAATGCATGTTTCATTATATTTCCTTGCTTTAATTTGTTAAACAGTGTTAATTTACGTTTCTCCATGCTGTATCTAATAAATTACAAATCAGATTATTTCTGTTGCCTTGCAATCACCATCTTCTGCTTTAGGAAAATTTGCTGACAGTTTTTACCTTTGTTTCCAATTATATCTTTGGTATGTAGGGTACCTTAGTTCACACTGGTAACTGAGATAGTTGTCTTCAGATTTATCAGTTCATAGAACTATGCTAACCCTGCACAGTGGATTAGTAATCATTTATATGTCACTTTGCTTATCTGCTTTAAGATAATCATCACAGAACGTATCATTTCTCTCTCTCTCTGGCAAGTATTTTAATACTGTCTATCTCGTTAGACTAATGTCCTTCTTTTTTTTCTTTCTTTTTTTTTTTGGCTGTGCCGCACAGCTTTTGGGATCTTAGTTCCCTGACCAGGGATTGAACTTGGCCCCTCGGCAATGAAAGTGCCGAGTCCTAACACTGGACCACCAGGGAATTCCCTAGAATACTGTCCTTAATGTTTAGAAATGCAATTAGTTAATAAAAAGTACTCTCTGAATATATTTCTGGACATTTAAGGACGCTATTCTAACAGCATAGATTCATTTTACTTGTTTTTAGTACTTCATATAAATAGCATGCTACAATATAAGCTGTGTTGTACTGTATGCATTAATTCATAAGGTATAGTGGGCTATAACAATACAGTAGAACAGGGGTGGGGTGAAAGGAGAGGTCCACTTGGCAGTGTATGCAACTACTATATCCATTTACTGTTTACATTTACTGTTTTCTATGAAGCCTTACTAACAATGGTTTAGGCTCTTCCATATAAAATGTGATCACATTTGGGAAAAAAATAGTGTGAGAATATTCTAAAGGTAATTTTGGGTTTATTGACCTCCATAAGTGTAAGGTAGACACCAAGAGGGTAGGAATTAGAAATGGAAAGGAGTAAATTATAATGTTTAATATTTTCAGTGGATATTTTTATTTCATAGAGAAAAAAATTAGAGATTTTTAAACACCTCTCCTTCCCTTTTGTCCCAACTTAAAAATTCTATATAGATAAATTCCTCTTGTTTTGTGGAAATATATAGAATACAATGCAATAGAAGTAAAAAAATCACATTATTCTTCCAGAACAACCATAGGAGACTTCTCCCACATCATCTGTTCTAATGGCAGAAATGGAGAGACTAGCCCTAGTGTCCACTGCAACTGTTGTGGTATCTTTTTACTCAAAGTGGGAGGTACTGGCAAGTGAACTGTAATTTATACGACTAGTTTGATGATAATGTTGCAATAGGAATGATACTTAGAGTGAGTAAGCAATGAACAATAATACCTGATTGTGTCTGATGATCTGAAAAACAGATTTTCCCAGAACATGAACAGAAATCTGAACATGATTTTCTTCAACTTTTGGGGATTTTAAGAAAGGTTTTAAGGTATCGCAGATACCATCTTCACAAGATGATGCATCAAACCTGACTCTTGCTGATCATCATATTTAACTTTCATTCATCTTTATCAGTATACTCTTGTACTGTGTATTGAACTCATCACCTGTGTGATCCCTACAGTGTGATTTCAGAAAAACGGTACAGTTATTTGCCAGATAGAAGACAAGTTACATAGATCAATATTGTAACTATATCATTTGTACTGAATTCATGAAAGCATAACCTATTATGCACGTAGACACAGAGACAAATACATAAGTTAGGAAGAAGTTTGTCTGTTTCCTCAGGTTACTCTATGAGAATAAGATTGGTCATGTTATAAAGTTTGGAGCCCTTTCTGATGCGTTTTCTACAATGAGTGAAATAATGTAGGTACAATTATATTTAATTTGGTCAGTGCAGGGATACTGTTTTCCTATTTTAGCTATAGGTGTGTATAACAAAGTATACATTCAAAACATTCTGAAAGAGAATGGGTGGTTGACTTCACAAGAATAGTATTCTTAATTGTAGAATCCCAGAAGTCCATATAAACATAGAAATCAAAAATTTTGTAGTTTTCTAACAATAAAATACTAATGTGTTATAATTATATCAGACTCATTAATTCAGGAAACAAATAGGATAAAACATAGTTATTTTTTACTTTGCAGAATATTTTAGAAAAAAAGTAGTTAAAAACTACCAATTTTTAATATTGGTATGAGAGTTTGTTTCAGTTTACATGTTGTTTATAAGCTAGAAAATTATCATAATCCAGGCATTTTTACCTCAGTAACTGTATATACAATAGCTTGCATGCTTTTCTTGTTTTGGGGTGTGGCTGTCCTTTTCCTTATAAGCCATTTTTCTCCTCCTTCCCAAACTTGGCTGACTCTGTGTTTTAAAGACTTAGTTCACGTATCACCTTGTTGAGGATTCTTCTCCTTTCTGGATTGGGTTAATTGTCCCTTCTCTGTACGTTGATTGCATCCCAGGCATAGCATTTGGCACATTGTTTTGTAATCATTTGTTTTTCTCCCAGGGCTGTAAATTCCCCTGATACAGGTGGTACATATTTCATTTCTGCATCTCCAGTGCTTAGCTCAATACTTGAAACATAGCAGTTGCTCAGTTTTTATTAACTGGGTTATTTAAATAAAAGAAGGTAAAGGAATCATTGTATAAATTTAAAAAAAATTAAGCATTTATTGGATTCTACTTTTAAAGAAAATCTGAAAACCAGAAAGGCTGTACATTCATTACAATATCTTCACTTCATATAGCAGATGATGTTTATTTCTTCCTTTAGGTGTTTACTGTTGGCAGAATTTGTGCTAATCGTACCAGAATTTACCATGAACTGAAACATTTTAAATTCAAGCTGTACCAGGAATGTTGCTCCATTGCAAAGACAGAAGAGGTTGAAGATGAACAGGTTAAAGAAACAGTGGAGAGAATTTTCAATCAGTCAAAAGAAAGTGGCTGGATTAAGGAGGTAAGGTATTCAATATTGAAGAACCATTTCATCGAGTAGGTTCTGGAGCCTAATTTTGATCAGCAAAAGGATACAAATTCTGAGAGTAGAAGACAGTAAAATTTAAAAGAGAACCTCTCTTTCTCTCCCTGTCTTTGTATTTTCTCTTCTTCCACCCATTCCTTTCATGCTTATCATTGACCTACCCTGAATAGGTGCCCTGATGTTCTAAGCATTCGCTCAACTCATCAGATAAATTTTAATCAGCAATGATACTGTCCTTTAATGAAGGACCTCTGTCCTTTCAGTTTTATGTATGTGGTTTTCTTTACATATATATTAAGTCCCCTTATTTTCTTTGACAAAGTATAGGACTCACCTCTGCTTGTCTGCTTCCTATCTTTAGAACAGTTCTTGTGACCTGAGAGAGAAGAAGCACCTGGTGCCAATCTGAGGAAAGGATCTCGGCTGCCAGTTCTAATACCACCCACATCCTCTTCTTGAGGACATGGGACTGAGCAGTGAGCACTGTAACTGGAGATCAAGGGGAATGCAGAGGTTTCAGGCCACGGCACTGATTTTGATTCCCCCATATCCTGTTGATCACTAAATTTGATATCAGGGATAAAGTGGGGGTTTTGAAGAGTGCACTGGATTCCCGAAGATCTGCTGGCAGCTCATAAGCTCTGGTCTGCTCACAGAGCTTTTAGAATTGTTATGGTGCATGGAAAGAATGCTAAAATGATTGCAATCTTCTAAAACAAGTCTAGTTACATGACTGTATAAGAGAGAACAGATAAGAGATTTTCAGGCAACTCAGTATATTTAATCTTAAAAAAAGAAAAAGGCTGACTTGAGATCCATTGCCTGCGTTATTTATATCATAGGGAAATTTGTAAAAGAAAAAAATAAAAAGAGAGCTTAGAGAATACACTTACGAGCAAAAGGAAAGAAAATGAGAACAACAAAACAGGAACTTCTTAGGACATTACAAGTTCCACAGAGGTCTCCTGGGCTGGTGAATGACATCAAGATTGGTTTCCCTTTTGACAATTATCTGCCCACCACAAACCACCACCCACTGATCCCCTTGCCTGCCCCCCACATCTTGACCCTTAAGTCGTCTTGCTCTCATTTTTCTCTCTTCAGCTTTTTATCTTTTACTTTGCTTCCACTTCTCTCACTTCCAGTTCTTTCCTCCTTATCCTTCTCTGTGCTTTTTCATTTGCCTTGGGGAAGAGCCATCACTTACCCAGTAAGTCCCAACTTCATTTTCCTTAATGACATTAAATTCTTAAGTGCTTTTATTGATGCATTTAAGTGTTGCCAACCCTCTCCTGGAGTTGAAAGACCTTTTGGAACACTGCACTCTTAAAAAAATTATGTACTAGGTGTAGCAAAACCACTGTGCATTACATATATTATATAATAATTTCATATGTAGGGAAGAACATTAAACTTCTTGCAGAAAAAAGTAAAAGCATTTCCAAATCACATACCTTAGAGGAAGCTTAACAAGGTCCATGACAACAGAAGGGACCTGGAATAAAAAAAACATTCTTAAGAAAAGAAAGCCAAGTATCACATTATGCTTAAAGAATAACACTTAGCATTGGGCATTGAAGGTATTTCAAGATGGTGCATGTTTAGGACAATGTGCACATTTTTTTTCACATAAAATACCAAAGAACTTCATTTTCTTTTTGAGATCCTTCCTACTTTAAAAAAATTGTCTATAGACTTCCTCAAAAGATTTCCTAGAAACCAAAGAAGTTTATTAGCCATTATAAACCCATATGCAGCTTTGTGTGCTGTGATTAAATTTCAGGATTTATCAAGTACCCTGACATTTTTCAACATCACTCTGCCTCCCCCTCAGTGTGTGTGTGTGTGTGTGTCTTTGAGTAATAGCACTACATGTGTTCTTGTGATGCATGACTTCTTCTTGGCCACAGTTATTCTAACCCTTTAGAATGCCAGGGCTCAGTGCTATTATACTTGAGTGGCCACATCCGTGGCTCTTTCTGCTCTTAGCTCTCAATTATTATGTGAACCCCTTCTTTTACCTTACACAAACTATCTGTTCCTGTCATTCCTCCCCCAGCTTGTGTTTCACACCTTGCTTTTTTCCTTACCTGACTCTTCTTCCTCCGAGCATTTTCCTTCCATTATCTCGGGATATCTCAGCATTTCTTCCCAAAGACCTGCCAACTAGACTAACTTCATTCTTCTTATTCTTCCTCCTAACAGTTGAACTAGGAGATCTGTTTTTAACTAATGATATTAAAAGGGTAGGAGCAATTCAAGTGTAAGAAAAGAACAAATGATAAGAAAATTGTAATACAAAATTATAATAAAATGAAAATATATAATAAACATAATAGTAATATATGTCTAATTCTAAATTAGAGCTGAAGAACAGAGTATCATATGCACTGGCAAATTCTAACAAATGTTTTTTCTTTAAGAAGAGAGTGCCTATGATGATGGGGTTTCCAGGGAAATTGAAGACAGCATTATTGGGATGGGGTGGTGAATACATAACACCAGGAAGTGAATAAAGTGTGTCCATAGAAGTATCAAGTTTCAGTTCCTATCACCACAAGCATCAGAGTTATCAGGATCCTCCCTCACTTTACTGGGAGTAAAACCAGAGCTCATAAGTAGAGTTAAGAAACCATTAGGTCAGTTCATCTCCTCAGCTGAAGGAAGCACTCTGAAATCTGTCAAGCTTGAAATCTCCAAATCATCCCAATTCCTCTCTTCTCTTGTCTTGCCCTGGTCTTTACTCTCCACCTTCATTGCTGTCACTCAAATTTAGGCCCTCATTACCTAAATTATTACAGTAGACTATTATAGTAAGTAGTTGCCAAACCATTCTAGACTAGATGTTTCACCTTTTTTTTCCCCAAAAAATACACCTCAGATAGTGTCAATTTCCTGCCCTAACACCTTTGGCAGTTTTCCATCGCCTGTCCCATTATTGCTAAACTCTCATTTCATACTGCCTCTTTGGTTCAGTCTTATCTCTCTCAATTCCCCTACAAAAACTCAGATTGTAGTCAAATCCCGTACTTTCTTGTCTTGTCACTGTTGTGTGGACTTTTGTCTCCTAGAGAAAACTCTCCACCAAATCGTTGCCTACCAAATCTTTTTCCCCAGGACAGCTTAAATGTCACTCTTTCCTGGTCACCTCAGCTAACCATAACCTCTCTTCTGAACCCACGTAACAGTGTCTATACTTCTTTATGGCACTTGTTATTTGTTGTCATTGGTGAACTCTGTTCTCCTTAGGGGCAGGGAAAGCAATTTTTTTAATACCCAAACAGTCATTAGCAGAGTATTTGATATATGTTATGTGTTCAGCAAATTTTTGTTGAATAAGTTATTAAAGTTGTTATGTTTTTACTATAAATATGATAATAGAAAACTTATAATTTATAAGAAAGTTATGAAATTAATAATAATGTTCATTTTGATCTCTTTCCAATGCTTTATATGAATTAGAAATGCTTATTTGAAATTGAGTCCCTGTTCATAATAAAAAGATTTTTGTTCACAATTACCATGAGATTAACTTGCTCCTATTTGTGTCTGTAGATTGAAAAGGCCTAGTTTATCTTCACTGCTTTGAGTAAAATAACTAGCTTTTTTATTGTATACACAGAAATACGGTCAACTTCAAGAATATCTCAGTTCTGCGGATTACTTTCAAGATGAGAAGTTTGACTGAATTGTAACACATTTCCTTCAGAGAAGATTTTATAAATTCCTGTAAATTTGAAGATCATGAGTCTTGTTTCTCTGTATCATGTGACATTTATATATTTTATGTATAGGTTCATGGCAAAATATCTTGTGTGAAACATATGTTCATCTTAATTTCCATGAAATGGCACTCTACAGTCTAATAAAACTTTTATCCGCTGTACATAGAAAACATAAGCTTAATCATTGTTAAGTGTATTTTAAAGTTATATAACAATGCCTTTATAACATACGACTATCAAGTGAATGAGCTGTTCATGTACTGTCAGTTTAATAGAAAAACACTGTATTTAAAGAATGTATTTAGACTAACATCTATACGTATTTATTGCTGAATTCCTGCCCAGATCTGTTTATTACCCTTTTGCAGTATTTTAAATGATCTTCACTAATATATTTTTTACTACTGTCATTATCTAAATCAGTGGGCCATGAAAGAAACATCAGTGTCTCATTCAATTCAGTTTCCTTGCCTCAGAATCAGACTGTAGCTTACCCATTTTAAGTAGAGGAGTGCTTTTTCTCCTCTTCCAGAGTTTCCCTTACGAATAGATTTCAGGCCTCCAGAGTCTTCCAACCCTCACATTCAGGAATAATTTCATGATATGTATTTTCATGCTTCATAATGTTCGTTCTTTTTCCTATCCAATTTTGTCTACAGGTTAATGATTTAAGATGTAGTTTATTTATTTTTATCCATTACTTTTCCCACATAACTATTTATGTTAGGATCAGAAGATCTCAGAGAGACAAATTCAGCCAAAAATAGTTTAAAAGCATATTTTGGCATCTTCATTGCTTTGTACATCTACATTTTCACTTAATATAAATATAATAAAGTAAATAATAAAGTAAAATGGTTTCAGAGTGAACAAATGGACCATGTCTATTCTGTATCTTTAATTCTTAAAAGTGGTATTCTCATAGGATCCAGTTCACTGTGGAATTTTATTTATTTATTTATTTTTTACATCTTTATTGGAGTATAATTGCTTTACAATGGTGTGTTAGTTTCTGTTGTATAACAAGGTGAATCAGCTCTGCATATACATATATCCCCATATCTCCTCCCTCTTGCGTCCCCTGTGGAATTTTAGATACTTGTTTCTTACTTGAAGTGTTGGTTGAACCTAGCTTCATCTGTTATGTGGTTCATGGAATGGACTTCATAACAAACTGCATACATTAAAAATTGCATTTTATTAAGTCCTTACGTAGAGATTACTTAATATTTTCTGCAATTAATTTTCCAAAATTATCCCTATTATCATTGTAAACAAAACAGGGAGAAAGAGCTTACAAAGTTGTGAGAATACTGATGCTGATGTTTCATGTGAGGAGTGCATACCTTTTTAAAAGTGTGAAATAGAAATTTCAGTCACATATCTCTATTATTCTTATTTTTCTGTCGTATGGGAATAATCCTTAACTATATGAAGCCACAGTTGAAAGTTGAAGTGAGTGTCCAAAAAGATGCAAGGCAGAGTTTAGAGGAAAAGTGATAGTCAAGTGGGAAGGGTGAAGGATCATGAATGATTTGTTAAAAAAGAAGTCCAAGAAAAGCAAGGGAATGATCTCCAAAGTATCTCTGATGACCCGGGAAGCATCACTTCTTGTATGTGACACTACAGACAAGCTTGAGCCAGCTGAAGAGTGAGAGTTCCAACTGAAAGTTTTAAAAATTAATTTATTCTTTTAAATAGCATGCATTTAATTTGTAAAAATGAAAGCACTAATGATTTTAGGGACTTATGATGGCAGCTGACCCAGTTCCCAGATCAGGCATCGTGTTGGCTTGAAGCATTTTTCCTATTAGAACAGCATTCTGACTGTCGGTCAGGAAATGCTAATAGGTAGCTTTGCTGATGTCTAAGGTCACTGCAACCGGGCAAGCTTCTTCAGTAGGTGTTTGGAGAGTACAAGAGGCTTTTATGTACATGATAACACCAAAAGTATGGCAAAGAGACAGGCTGTCAGGAAATGAGAATTAGCATGGATCATGGGGCCAAAAGCAAGTAGTCTAGAAGAAAATAGAAATGTTGAAAAATTAGAATTAACTTTTGCAGGTATTATGACATACTGTATTATTTTATCATCATCATCATCGTTGATATCATTGATTCTATATAACACAAAAAATAGTTTGTAAACTTATAAATCTCACATGTCTATGAACTTTTTAGGTCTGGGCATTTATTACTATAGTGTTAAATTCTTTGTGTTAGGTAGCTATGGATAGTAGAGATGATGAGGAACACAGATGGACAAATAAAAAGGAACTAATGCTTTAAAAAAAAATCCATAGAGCTATTACAGAAGCTTTAGAGATATAAAAGAGGGAACAGTTCCATAAAAGGGAAAGACAAGGAAAAAAAGAAATGTTTATTTTATTGGCAGCTGTATGTAATTGACCATATTTTCTCACTTGTCTGCTCTCATACTCAGATGAGTAGTTCTATTCACTACTCATTTCTTGGAGGTATTATAGGACTTGCTTAGACTCCAGCATGTTGATTGAGGTGTAATTGCAGCCCTTGAGCTATTTTGGGTATAGTCTGGTTTCCCTGTAACTCTTTTCACACTTGATACTGAGGCAGCAAGTCCAGTGGTTAAGAGAATATAGGTTTGAAATCAGCCTTGAGTTTGAGTCCTGATGTGTTACTTCCTAGTTAGCTTAAGTAGTTTAATTTCAGTAAGCCTCAGTTTCCTCATTTATAAATGGGGTTAATAATACCTCTCCCTCAGGATAGCTGGTGGATTAAAGGAGATATATGTGAAGTGCTGTGCTTGAAACAGTGACTGTAAATAAACAGTAACTGATGTGAATGGAAATGAGGTTGTGGATGATGATGTCAGCTTGAAATTAAATGGCTGTAAAGGGTAAATTTGTACAAAAGACAACATAAAGGAGTGTCCTACAACACTAGAATATAGTATGAAAATGTATTAAATTGTTGTTTGACAAGTTTTTAAGGTGTGTCCTTGCCTAGCTTAGAATTCAAAGTTTATGTCATTTAGGAATAGCGGATTTGACCAAAAACTCTGTTATTAATCAAAACCCGTGTTACTGCAGGACTGTAGAGTGAACAGTAAATTTTAATTTAAATATTGAATTTTTTCTCTTTCATCAAGTATGATTGCTGAATATAAAGTTCCGGTAGTAATAGAAAGAAGATAATGTCTAATGAATACACCTTTTTAAAAATCAAATATAAAATGATCAAAACTCCTTCACTTTTTAATGACACCTCATGAGAGAGTTCTGCGTACAAATTTGCATACCTAACAAAGGTATATTTCTGCCTTTCTCCATGAGTGGTGAGGAACTTAGCCTTGGAAGGGACAGAAAGAAGTATGTTCCAACGAGAAGTAAAGTTATATTCCATCAGAATGCACTTGTCCCAAATTCCAAAGTAGCATTCCAGGATTTGTGAAAATAAAATGAACTAATGTAGGCCAGCCTATCGAGAACTAAATTGTAGATAAATCCAGCCTTAAAATGTTTGCATTGATCCTACCCATTCACTTCTATCCACAGCTCAGTTTGAAGCAGCACCATGTTACTGAGATGCCAGAGTTGGTTTAGATTAACAAAGCCCCATTGCTTGAGACCTCAAATCCAAACGACTTCCAAGTTAGGATACACAGAATATTTATGGACCTGACTATACCAATCTTGCACTCACCTTAATTTATTCTCCATAATTGATAATAATAAGCAGAATCCAATATACATTTTGAGGTCTTAAAGGTAGGATTATCTGAAGATGAGGGGACAACAGTCTGTGTCAGAGATCTATTTGGTTTGTGTTAGTAAACTTTTTGAAACTCGACTGCTACATAATGATTTTCCTCATTGTATATGTAAATCAGACAGCTATGGAGACCCCAGATCTTGCATTAGGTCTGTCATAGGCAATCTTGTATTTTCAAAGAAATCTTTTTTTTTTTTTTCCTTTCTGGAACTGGTATTGGTAATTTCATCATGGTAAACTATTTTAGTTATTCTTACTGATATGCTTATGATCACCCAGATTGACTTATCCAGAGACGTACAAAGCAGGCGGGCCAGGTAGATAGACACCGGCCTGTCCTTTAGGAGCTAATGATGTGATTTCTTCTCCTCTCCCTCCTCCCCCCTCCCGCAACGCGCACACACCCTACGTCTCCCTGTGACACTCTTGAACATCTCCTCCGTGCTCACCCAGCTCTCGCTAGGGTGCCCTGGGGTGTCATGGACAACATACTGAAAAATGAAAATGACATCCTCAGGGGGGCGTAACGGAGGTCTGGAAGGGAAAATACATCCCCTGGCCGGGAATTTCTTCAACATTTCGAGCTGGTGAAGTAGTCGACTAGAGGTTGGGGAATTTCCCCAGCCTTCTCCCCCGCCCCGGAGCCGAGGCGGAGGCCGAGCTGCGCGCGCCGCCGCCGAGATGCGCAGGCTTTGGGATTCACCTCTTCAGCCGCTGGGAGGCCCTCTGTGTTCCCCTTTCCCCGGCGCCGGCCGCCTTGCTCGCCTGTGCAGTGGCACCCGCCTTCCACCAGGGAGCCTCGGGCGAGCGCTCCCCCCCCCCCCCCCCCCCCCCCCCCCCCCCACCCCGCAGCTCGCTGGCTCTCTCTTTCTCCCTCTGTCTCACTCTCTCTCTTTCTCTCCCTCTCCTATCGGAGCACAATGAAAGCCTGTGTATCGCCGTGACTCCGGGCTGCGGAGCCAGTGTCAGCCCAGCGGCGAACAACAGACGGGAAAGAGAAAGGAAAAGACCAGCTACTTTCTTTTCCATCTCTAAAGCGGAACAATCCAAGAGATAGAACCACATTGCTTATTGCGAGTCCAGACCCTCAGATCCACTGGCCGGGGATGGAATGTACAAAAGTGGACAGAAAAGTGGCTGGACATGACTCGGTGCAATTTGCTGGAAGTTTGTAAGTTTGACCATCGTTTGTAAATTACTCTCGGAGGAGTTTGTCTCTCTTGATAACTGTATTAGGATCGAGCCGGGGGTGAAGACTAGGAACGTAAGCGGGAAAGAAAAAAATGTGTTGAAGGATCTCTCTCAGTGGCTAGTGACTTCAGACTGCTTTCATTTAAGGCTGGGAAACCTTAGAGGGAATGAGGATTTTACTGGTGATTGGATTAGCCGAAGAAAAAAGCATGGTCCAAAAGTCCAGTTACTGGTATTAACAATTGAAAAGCTGCCTCCCGTTCTTTGGGGAGAGGATCACATCCTGCAGTCCCCCAAAGGGGAGAAAACACCGGAGCAAAGGGAAAGGGAGGAAAAAATTAAAAGCCAAAGGACAGTATCTCTTGATTTTTGTACGTTTTGAACATTGACTTCAAAAAGCTTCTGAAACAGCACTTTTTTTTTTTTATTTTTAACCTGAGGAAAAGTAAAGGCCGTGGGTTACAGAGACCATGGTAGAAATGGGTTTCTCTGCAGAAACATCCCCATAAAGAATCTTCCAAAACAACTAGGTGAGGGGGAGTCCAGCTCTGTATTAATACCTCTCACAATTCCCTTGGCTGTCTGTTCCTGTCTCTCACTTGACAATCCCTGAATTCTTGCTCTTACCCCCAGATCGATCGTGTGTTTACAAAGTACCTAGTGGCTCTTGTCAGCTTGGTGGGGGGAGAAAAACCCCACTAACTGTCCAACTTCTCCAGAGCTGTCAAATGCAATTAGAGTTAAGTTGATCAGGGTTTGTTTCCAACTTACGCTCTGCGATTGGCTTCTATTCTTTCTCCTCACCCTCTTTTACTCCCTCCCCTCCCCCATACCTTCTCCACTACTCCCCCCAACCTCTGAAGACCTCTATTCATGTGGCCCTGAACACTGAGCGCACATTGTCAACAGCAGATTTGCCTGCACTAACCAGCCATAGCCTCCTTCCACCTCACCATCCCAGAGGCAGCAATCATTGTGTCCAGTAAGATGGGGGACACAGCGCCCCCGCAGGCCCCCACAGGAGGGTTAGGGGGGGCCCCTGGGGCGGGGCTCCTTGGAGGGGGCTCGGTCACCCCGAGAGTGCACAGTGCCATCGTGGAGCGCCTTCGGGCACGGATCGCCGTCTGCCGCCAGCACCACCTGAGCTGTGAAGGACGCTACGAACGGGGTAGGGCCGAGAGCTCAGACCGGGAAAGAGAGAGCACCTTGCAGCTCCTGAGCCTCGTACAGCACGGCCAGGGGGCGAGGAAGGCTGGCAAACACACCAAGGCCACTGCCACTGCTGCCACCACTACAGCCCCTCCCCCGCCACCTGCTGCCCCTCCTACAGCCTCCCAAGCGGCAGCGACAGCGGCCCCACCGCCCCCACCAGACTATCACCATCACCACCAGCAGCACCTGCTGAGCAGTAGCAATAATGGTGGCAGTGGTGGGATCGACGGGGAGCAGCAGCCACCGGCTTCAACCCCGGCGGACCAGAGGAACTCGGCCCTGATTGCGGTAAGGCACCTGGTTTTCTCCCGATTCTGGCTGTGGTCGTGTGGACTTTGGCGAGGGTAGAGCTGGCCTCGGCCTGATGTAGAGTGGACGGCAGTGCAAAGGGCCAAGATGCCACCTGACTACCTCAAAGGCTATTGGGTGTCTTGTTTGTGAGGTGTTACTAAACCCTTACTCGTCAAGTTCTGCTGGTGTTCATTCATGGGTTCTCCTCCACCTGTAGAGTATTCCTTAAGTGGTAAGCAACTTGAGTTTTCCAGAGTTTGCTCTGGGGTCCATAGCTTGCAGAAGAATTGGCTACGAGCGGCAAGATCTGAGCCATTGAGGAAGGTCTTGTCTCAGGAAGCCTCCTGCTTTGGCGAGCCAGCACTGATTAGGCCCAGCAAGCCATGCTTAGCCTGAAAGCATTTGTTTAGCAGTCCAGATGACCTTTAGCCAAGCCTTTTCCTTCTTGTCCTATTTCCCCTTCCCTCTTTGAAGTGGCCCTTTCTCCCTGGGTCAGGAGAACATAAGTGGTAATCTCTAGCAGAGCAAGTTCCCTGAGCGTTCCCTCACTCAAAAACAAAAACTTGGGGAAATAGCCCAGAGACTGGTGAGGGAGTGTTTTTACAAGGCCTGCTCCCTGATTTCTTACAGATTCCCCCACTGTCCCCATCTAGCTTCTTGCCACAGACACTTCAGTCAGATACTGCCCACTTACAGCCTTCACTAAAATGGGCAGGCGCAAAGGGGCTGTTACCATGCTGTCATCCTAGAAAGTGCCTTGTCTTCAGCCATTCCTGGTGACAGGACATCCAACCTGAAAGTTGTGATTAGGTTTCTGGCTGGAAGTTCCTCCTTAGAGGTATAGACACACCTCATCCCAGAGCGGGTAGCCCTTGACTCATTAGTTCTTGGTGCTAGTCCAGGTCAGGTGACTGCCAGTCGTGTGCTGGCTTTCCCCCCAAAGCTGCTGGGCCCATAGCCTCAGGGTAGAAGGTGGAGCCCTGCCCTGCAGCCCTGCAGCCCTGCAGCCCTGCAGCCCTGCAAGCTTCCTCCATTTCTGAGTTCTGTGGGGATTCGGAAGTCCTGTGTCCGCTAACAGCACAGCTCCAGTTTGCCCAAGCCAGCCCTAATGAAAGTGAGCAACAGGAAATGGCCATGCAAGCTGAAATGTCCTCAAAAAGCCCAAAGGAGAGGAAGGCACTGCGTTGAACTCCTTCTCCGAGGGAACTTGAGAAGGAGCTCTAGGGAGAGGACATCCTCCAGCCAGGCCCCTAGGATGCTTCTCTGTGGGTCCTCCTTATCCCTGGCCTGGGTCTGTGATGGTTGAAGTTTCCAGAAAGTCTGGGGACTGTATTGGTGCTGTTCTATTCCACCACACGTTTTGCTTGAGATGCCTAGAACTGCAACTTCCTGGCGCCAACTCCAGACGAAAGATAACTGCTAACAGTTAAACTGCCCAATGTTTGT